AAATTACTTTCGAATGGTAAGTAATTTATCATAATAAAAAATAAATATAAATGAAGAGGAAAAAAAAGAGAATGTTGGGTGTTAACTTCTCTCTCTGTTTCCACTTGTTTACCGGATACAGAACATCGGAACATGGAAAATATTCAAACAGTCAAACTGCGGCTTTCGACACGGCCCAAATCCTTTTCACCTTCTTCGGCTCAGGAGTTGAAATAGAAATCTGAAAGAAACCTCGGTGCAATTTAATGTTGAAAGCCCAAACACCGAAAGAACGAATATCACTTGAAATCCACTCACTCTGAATATAATAACAAATACGAGACAAAACCTTTAAGACTTGGGCTTGATGGGGCGCGCCAGGCCCTTGCAGTAGTGCAACACATGGGCGACGCTCGAGAATCCCAGTAGCAAGCTACTGTAATGGACTCTCCCCCTCTAAAAATTAATTTAATATCATGTGGGCCATTGGCCCACGTATCAGATATTAAACTGATAAGAACAGATACTACACTTGATCTTAGCCAAAAGGCCGAGAAAGGTATGCCTTGTAACAAGTCCAAGCTCGTGTATTATAGTTGCCCCATGCCTTGCTGCCTCTTACTCTGCTCGGTGTGGGATTCTTAGCAGTCGCAAGCAGGGAACCACATTTGTATACTGACTTGTATATATAGATATGAATGAACTGCTCCAACAGAAACTTCTGTTATCTGTGTCGTTATGAGTTATCTTTTTTCACTTCTTGCGACTCACAATCAATGAAGAAATCGGAAAGCAAAAAAGAAGACATGATGACGGGACTGCGAAGAAGTCATAGAGTAATAGAAGAATGTAAGAGACAAGTGTGCCTAGCGCTTCCTCTCGTCTCAGTTGGTCTCTTACAGCACAGTTTGCAAACCATCTCTGTTTTATTTGTTGGTCATCTTGGTACCCTCCCTCTCTCTGCTGCTTCCATGGCCACCTCCTTCGCTTCGGTCACTGGCTTCAACTTGCTGGTAAGTACATGCCCTCTCACTTTTTTCCCATCAAATAACGCCATGATTATCAAACTTCTTCATCATATACTTCTTATCTTCAATATCCAACTATATAGTAATTCTTGGTTGTCCAATGAGTTTGTTCATCAGTAATCTTATCCTACTCGATTCATTTCTTGAAAAATTCTTAATGTTAAAGGACAAATTTCAAAGATCAAATAATTAAGTGCCTGTTTGGATTTCCCAAAAAATTAATTATTTTGGCTAAAATTATGGTTTGTAAAAAAAATACCAAACACCCCCATTTCTTTATAATCGATTGTTTAGTTATAATCACATTTTATTTGAAGCTGGCAGCACTTGCTTATCAATTTTAATATTTACAATTACCAGCATTTATTGATTGTCAGAATGTTGACTTGCCAAATATACCCCTCTCAAATGCCCATCCCTCATATTCTTTCTCTATTCTCATTGGTGCTTCTTGTGTGCTCCTGCCTCACTACTCCTCCATCCATCTCCTCCCTTACCAAATATATATTTTTTTACACAAATTAAGTTGTTAATATTACCTTAAAATATAATTTAAATTTCCAATTAATTAGTATATAATTATATGTTAAATAATTATATAAATATTAAATGGATCACTATTATACATATTTTATTTGTTGAATAGAGTTCAATAAATTTAATAATATTATATACAATTTTATTAATATTTACATTTTAAAAAGAAATAATTTACATACTTAAAATTAATTTTGACTAAAATTATTCAAATATTTTCAATCTTATCAAAATTAATTTCATAAAATAATATCCAAACATCACCATGTTATAATGTAATTAATTATAATTAAAATCAATCATATTAATTAATTTTTTTATAATTAGTTATATACAACTGAAATTCAAATAAGATATTTAAAAAACAAAATGCACATTTCTCCTGAACTTTGAGTATTGAAAAATCTTGAACGGAAGGTTTTCACTGATCTTTGAGCGAGGTTGGCAAGCGACTGATCCAAGGGTCGTTGGTTTCGAATAATAATATTCTAGAGAATATGATAGGACGGCTTCATGTCCCGATGTTGTCAATACGTTTTTTGTTTTTTTTGTTTTTGTTTCAATGCTGCCTGTGTTGTTAAATGTAAACACATGTTGCTGTCTTTTTCCTTGTGTGGCCCATGAGAAACAACAACGATTTACACATGATGTAGTTCTCATCTTTCTAAATTACCAATACAATACATGAGTACATCGTTTTTTCAATAATATTCTGAATTTCCAATGTCTTTTGACTGTTTGCAGAATTTATTTAATATTTTCAAGCCTATGGATAAATGAAAACTCGATTTGTCATTTCATACTTAGATTAGAATGTCATTTTGTTGAGAAATAAAGAAAAATTAATGTTAAAAATGGGTGTCTATATATGATTATTGATTAAAATTTATACTTGAAACGCAATGTCTGACGCCCCCCCCCCCAAAAAAAAAAGAAAAAAAAAAAGCATAATGTCTAAATTATATTACTCAAGCAAGTTCTACACATCATAGACTCCAACCCAAAGAAAAAAACACAAGGGGAAAAATTATCATTTACCACTCAAATGAACCGGTCTCCTTAAAATTGACAGTGCCAATTTTTTAGAAAAAGTTAAGAGAATCCAACGTAGTTTCTTTTCTTTTCTTTCTTTCTTTCTTTCTTCCAATTACATGTGCTACTTGTTGATTTGATTTATGACTAATTGAACAGATGGGATTGGCAAGTGCACTGGACACCTTTTGCGGTCAATCATATGGAGCAGGACAACACCATATGCTCGGCATACACATGCAAAGATCCACGTTGGTTCTTTCACTAAGCAGTGTACTCCTTGCAATAATCTGGGCAAACACAGAACCAATTCTTGTGGCTATGAAGCAAGACAAACTCATATCAAAAGAAGCAGGATCATATGCCCATTGCATGATCCCAAGCCTCTTCGCATTTGGTCCTCTTCAGTGCATTATGAAATTCTTGCAAACCCAGAACATTGTCCTCCCCATGCTGCTAACTTCTGCAATTGCAGCTCTGTTTCACATCATCCTTTGTTGGGTTTTGGTGTTCAAATCTGGGCTTGGGAGTAAAGGAGCAGCCATAGCGATTTCTCTGTCTTATTGGGTAAATGTGGTATTAATGGCACTGTATGTGAGGTTCTCTTCTTCCTGCAAACTATCATGGACTGGTTTCTCAAAGAAGGCTCTCAACAATGTCCTTGACTTCCTTAAACTTGCTGTTCCTTCTGCTATTATGCTCTGGTATCTGTTTGAAGTCATAGTTAAGATTGTAACTGTGTATAATAATCTGGTGGCAGTTGATCTTTGTATTTTTGAACTTGTACAGCTTGAAAGTGTGGACGTTTGAGCTGATGATCCTCTTGTCAGGCCTTCTTCCTAATCCAACCCTACAAACCTCTGTTCTTTCAATATGGTCAGTTAATTACCAAACTTTAATTTCACCACCTTTTTCCCCAAACCGTGATGAGTACGAGAAGTTTCTGATTTACAATTGCAGCCTCAATATGTTTTGTATAGCTTGGATGATCCCATTTGGATTCAGTGCTGCAGTAAGGTGACGATTGTCTCCATTAACAAATTATTCACCCCTAGTTTATTTTATGAAGATCAATTCTATGATGGTGAAAATGTGAAACCTTGTAAATGACAGCACAAGAGTGTCAAATGAACTAGGGGCAGGAAATGCAAAAGCTGCAAGTTTAGCAGTTTGGGTGGTGTTAGGCATAGCCTTAAGTGAGGGTACGTTATTACTTCTAGTGATGATTCTGCTTCGAAATCACCTGGGACAAGTTTATAGCGATGACAAGGAAGTAGTGAGACAAGTGGCCTTCATGATACCAGTTTTGGCCATATCTAGCTTCCTTGATGGAATCCAAAGCGCTCTTTCAGGTCACTCTCAATTTCTCATAAGTCACATCTAAATTTCTTATAAGCACAACTCAAACTTGAAGGTGATGTAAATTTGAGTGAGTATGATCTGCATATATGTTCAGGAATCGTGAGAGGATGTGGATGGCAGAAGATTGGAGCGTATGTGAACTTGGGATCCTTTTACCTTGCCGGCGTTCCTTGTGCTGTTATATTAGCTTTCGTTGCTCACATGAATGCCAAGGTGAAAAACTCGCATGGCATTCTTGGATCTGATATTTTGTTACACACAGACACTGTTATTTATTTATTGTGAAATAGGGGCTGTGGTTGGGGATCGTGGTTGCTTTTGCACTGCAAGTGGCATTTTTCCTGGTCATTACAGTTGGCACTGATTGGGAGAAAGAAGTAAGGCAAAGAGTTCCATGGTTTTATATTTGGGAAAATATCTTTTATTCAACTTTTCCTCTTTTATCGATCCAGTTTTATATTTTAACTCCTTGTCCTTATAGCGTTGTTGGCTCGATATAAACCCAATCCCGATATTTCTTAATTCACTAAAGAGTAGTTGTACTGCATCAAAATTAAAGAACTAAATCGATTATTGAAAAAACAAAATTCAAGAGCTAAAAGTCATATTATCCTCTATATATTTTCAAGCATACATTGCTTCCGTAAGGTAAGGGCTTTGTTTTTCTTTTTCTTTTCTTTTTTTCCTGCAGGCAAAAGAGGCTCAGGGTAGAGTGGAGAGTTCAAGTATCTACTTCACAAGTACTGCACCAAGTGATCAAATATTACCATCTCAAGAACATGCAGCATGAATCCACTGTAGTCTTGCTGGTCAAGGTCTACTGTTTTGAATTTAGTTTTACCACATTATCAAGATGTAACGAGAAAAATAGTAAAATAATAATATTATTCAAGGGAATGATTTGAAGTACAAAATCATACTAGTAGAACAAAGAAAGGGACCTGTAGAAATAAAGGGATATCATTGAAACTCTGAACTCACCAGCCTAAACCCTAAACAAAAATCTAAATCTAAAATTAACCAACGCCTAAAACTACTTTAGTACTCACAGGAAAAAAAAAATAAACTAAAACAAAAATATAAGGGAATCATCAAAAGTGGTCAATCACTTTGGGAAATCAAAAGCTGAGACTGAATGTGGAGGGAGCGTGACAGTTGTGTCCTTTCCAGCATTATCCAGTGGACTCTGTACTGGAACAACCTACAAAGAGACAAAAGAAATACATGGAATACATTACAAATGAGCTCTACAAACTTTAATATAAAAGAAATAAATATAAGAAGATGCAAGATATATACACACACACCTTTGTAGGCTCTTTAAAGGAATTCTCATCCAGTGCATTAGCAGATGTGATCACTGTCTTCGTTGCTCCTGATAGTTTCACATTTGTGCCCAATCCATTGAGAGTGATCTTAAGAGTTGCAGGATTCTCATTGAAGTTAACAACCTGCAAAAATGATTTGAATTACAAATGAGAAAGACACAAAATTGGCATAATTTGATTATGTTTTCACTTGAATTTATTTAAGCACCTTCACTCTTATGTAACTCTTCTTGTTGGTTGAATTTGTGAACATAATTGCAGACGCAAGGATTGAAGGAGGAGCTTCAAGTGTAGAGTTCAAATATGTTGCTCCGCTTGACTCTATGAAAAGCTTTTGCAAATAATAGCTTGGAGTTGCATAACTCTGATGCGAGTCAAATACAATAGCATCGGGCATCCACCTCCTATCATGTGTATTAACAAACAATGGTGCATAGCTCACCAATTCAACCACATCACTGTTTGGGAAAAGAAACAAAAATGATCAAAGAGTAATTAATTAAATGACTAGACATGAAAATTGATGACTAAGAGATGAGAAACCTGTTCTTCTCCAATCCCATAAGGAATCCAGCTTCACCCAATGCAGCTAAGAGGGTTCCGTTATTTTTTGCGGCATCACCCTCTTGAACAGCATATTCACTAACAAAAGCCTTAGGACCGGAACGAGGTATCTTATCAAACTTGGTATAGTTTTTGAACATAGTTGTAGAATCTTTATATATGTGGAAGTCATATAATTCTGCCGGGTGGTCCAAAGGTTTTGCAGTAGCATCGCAATTTGATATAATTTGCATATCTGGATATGCACGTTTTATGGCAGCGTAGAACTTAAGATAGTTCCCATGGTAGTTAGGCATACCACAATTCTCGTTTCCAATAGCAACATACTGTAAGTCAAAGGGTTCAGGGTGACCTAAAGAAGCTCTTATTTTACCCCATCTTGATGTGGCAGGACCTCTAGTAAATTCAATACCATCAAGAGCTTCCTATATAACAATTAACACAAGGTAAATTGAAAAGACTCAAAGAAAATGACGATTAACTAATGAGAAAGGCGTATAAAACATGAAGAGTTTAAATTATACCTGAATCATAGGACCAATTCCCGTGGTATTGACTGAGTCGTGAAAGCTAATACCAGTGTTAAATACCCATATTGGGGCTGCGCCAAGATCCTCTGCCAACTGTTCCATTAATGGATATTTTTAATAATTAGTATATGATAACAAAATTAAGCGTAAATATTGAGAATCAAAACGAACTAACCTGAAGAAATTCTAAATAACCAAATCCATCATCAACCCAATAACCCCATGCATCATTGAAGTGACCAGGTCTCTTCTCCCATGGTCCAATGGTGTACTTCCACCTGAATGCATTTCTCATATAACTTCCTTCAACATAACAGCCACCTGATCATTCCATCCAATGAAGTTAGGTTATGATTGAAAAAAGTAAATTTTTTAAAAAAATAACTTCAACCATTTCATATATGCTTACCAGGAAATCTGAGAAATTTTGGCTTCAAATCAGCCGCCTTTTGAAAAAGGTCATTTCTAAAACCATGTCCCTGGTTAAAAATCCAAAATATAAAACATGTTAAAAAAATGGACTTTAATATGCTGATAACATAACACAGTAATTGATCAATTATTTGAAGACCTTGTATGTGTCCATAGGCATTGCTGACACTTGATCCAACCACATAGTTCCTTTCTGGGTCGTCGTTAATTGAAGGCTTGCATTGACATCTGATGCTGTAGCTTCAAGAATAGTCTCAAACTTTTTCCATCTCCTCACATAACTTGCATAAGTCCTAAGAAAAAGGTAAAACCATTCAGTTTATATATGGTCAACTAATTTGTTTAAAAAAAAAAACAAAGAGTATACAAATTAATAGGAAGTAATTAAAAAAAAACTAATAGGAAGTAATTAACAATATAATAGACTGTATAGATGTGTAACAAATAAGTAGATAATATAATTATACTTGATGTTATGTGAAGCCAACTCTTTTCCATTAGCTCCAGTAAATGCCACTTTCAAATTAATTGGTCCTAAGGCACGAAGATAGAATATAATTCTATATTTCTTCCCTTGCTCAATATTCTGAAAAAAGAAAAAAAAGAACACGAAATTAAATGTTATATAGAATAATTAAGTATCATAGTGAAAGTGATATTATACCGTGGAAATTAAAATGTTAGATATACAAAGACTCACCATGCCCCAAAAACCAGGGTTGGAAAGGCCAACACCATTAGGACATTTTGAAGGTGAAGGACAGAGAATATCCAATCTGACAGCAACTTTGTTCATGGGAAACAAAGACGTAGCTTCAGTTTCAACATAAATGTTTGATTCATCCCCTATTATTGACCATGGAAAGATGCCTGCTGGAAGTTGTGAACCTTGTTCTTCAAAACCTAAACACACAACAATAAAAGCAACATGCTTTTCTTAATTTTATATAAAAAGAAAAAAACTTAATGTAATATTTAGTAAGCAGAAAAATGTTTTTTAAAAAGGAAATGACAAATGCACTTATCATTTCTTTTTCAAAAAAACACTTTTTTAGTGTATCAAACAAGCAGTATAGATAGGAGATTATCAAAATGGTCTTTACCTCTGTTGCTGACTAGCTCAGCCCACAATCCACCAGCGCCAGCGTGATTAATTTCCTACAAAATAGGTAATTGATGATTAGTTATTCTAGAATCATATATGTGAAAAGCTGTATATAAGTTTACAGATTGAACAAAATATTTACCTCAAAGAATACTCCAAAAAAGTTTTTGGAAATTGGCCTTCCAGTACCAACGTTCACAACTAATGTGGAAGTATCATTTCCAGCTGCAAAACTTTGAAATATAAGAGAAACAAATAGAACTATACACAATAGAGCTCTGAAAGAAGGCATATTCTTAAACCTCAAACTAATGTGATCTAATAGTTGGCATGCTACATATTTATAGCTACTAGTGGATATAATTTACATTTACATTATGTTATTTATCATAAGATATTATCAACGAGATTGTCGAAAAGAAATATTAACAACTAGATATTAAGTGTAAAGCAATATCAATCCTTTTTCAGGCAAAAAAAAAAATAACAATACAAATTATTGATTTTCTAAACGCATACAAATTAAAATACTTAAATGAATAAAAAAAATATGCAACTATTAAAAATATAAAAGTATATAACTAGACAAAATACTATTAGAGGGTAAGAGTCAAGTAATTAATGAAATAGTATAATTTTATATATGATATTTTGTTTACATTTAGCTTCTGTTATAAATTACATTACATCTAACTTTTAAATATGTTTTTTAAGTTGATTATATTATGGTTTTTCTTAAGAAAAATGGGAAGGACCTCAACAAAACAAAAGAGAAAAATTATAAACCGTAAAAATGAATGCTCTTGTAATTTAATGACAAGTATAACTAAGCAAGAGAAAAATAGAAGGTCATATTAAAACATTAAAAGAAAAATATGAGTTATATATTGTTAGATCAGCGTTCTTATTAGCATCATTTTGGTTATAGATTCATTATCTTTTATAATATATATATATAACCGATTTTGTATTTTTTTTGTCAAATGTAAAGTATTAAAAACTTCAATTGATTTATTTTAGCTATTTATCGTCAGAGAAAATTCTTCAATATCATTTCTTAAACTACAAACTATATCTATATAATATATGAAAATATTCAAGTATGTTATGATTATTTAGTGATTTTTGGATTTTATGATATCTTGATGGATTTTTGTTTATAATATCTTTTATAATACCTATTTATAATTATTTTAAAATTTTATGATATTTTTATGTATCTTCATATTTTTATGAGATTCTTTCTTATTTTACTAAGTCAAAAAATTTTCAAAATAGATTTTTAAAAAATAAAATATTTTTTATCAAAAAATTTAAACAAAAAGGCTCATATCATATTACAACAGCGTCATATCAACAAAAATTTGAAATATACAAGAAATAAAAGAACCCTAATTAAAGCACATAATGCCAACATAAAACTTTTTTTCGATTATAGTAAAAATTTGCAACTTTATTGTTGACATGATATATACACATATATATTCAAAATTTGATGAATATAATTTATATTAATTTTTTAAAAATATTATTATGAATCCAATTCGTATCAACAATTAAACTATACTTGATAAGTTAATCCAAAGTTGGTGTTTACAAATAAACAAAAAAAATTAAGTAATTTAAAATTAAGTAGGATAAGGAGCCTAGTTATTTAAAATTAAGTAATTTTCATATAGTTTATAAGGCTTAATGTGTTAACAATATTAATAACAAAAGTTTGTTGTGAAACAATGTTAATAAGAATTATATACATAATTTTATATTCTCAATGTACTTTTATCCAATCAAATTTAAACAAGTGACTTTTAATGTGTTAACAATATTAATAACAAAAGTTTGTTGTGAAATAAATAATTGATGCAAAATACACATGTTTTAATTTAATTGAAAACAAGAACTTTGAATATATAAGGATAAATATATAAATTTTTTATTTTAGATTCTTGTGATATCTTTATGATTTTTTTATGAAAAATAATTTATTACTTATTTATTTTAAAGGAAAAAATTAGTTTATATACATTTAAGGTACTTGTTTCTATTCAATTTAAACCATGTGTATTTTTATAAATGATTTATACTATAATAACCCTTTTTATTAATATTGTTAACACTTTAATATCTACTTATTTTTTTCTAACAAAATATCCACTTGTTTTTATTTGATTCCATTATTAAACAGATAAATTTAAATATATAAGTTTTCCATATTCATGAATTATTTACCGTAGCTTCTCAAAATAATAAGAAGTATGTTTATCCATTCTTTTTTTTAATTTTAAACAAATGTCATAAAGTTTTACAAAATAGATTTTTTTAAAAAAGTAATTTTTTTCACAACAAATAATTAAACTAACCACTGAGACTTGAGTTTGTCTTTACGTGATCAAATAATTTATTTAAGCTACAATTAAGAACTAACATTGTAATGCAATCCAATAAAATGGATACATTTAAAAGGGTGAACCAACATAAAGATTTGGAAAATGGATAAGAAGATGCAAAAGAGATGTTGCCATATTTTTTTTTATTTTTATTTTTTGATTCCCATGAGATGAAAGATAAAATTTTAATCCATTGCTTTTCTTTTTTAAGAATTGAAAAATATAAGGTAAGGTCTAATAGAAAGTATTAATTCCTTACAATACAATGAATTAAGTTTAAATTCTTGGTGAGAGAGGTCCACATTTAGTGGTTAATAGTGTGTCGAATAAGATTATTTTTAATAAAAAAATATTTATACCTGATAAATAAATAAAAAAGTTTATTATTTGGGCAACATTTTTGTGTGTGTGGGTGTTTTCAGTTTTTTAATGAATGGGGTCCTTCTTCAATTTTAAACTCAAGCAGGCTTGGTGGCCCAATCCAAATAACAAGATTTTATGCAAAGCCTTGGGTTGGAATAATTCTAGCCCACATCCAAGCATTGACTTGACTCTATATTTTTTTAATCTATTTTTATTGTTTGGGGCATAATATATTTATACTAAACTGTTTTGCTCTATTTTATATGATGAAAATGATTTTAATAAAAATAAAAATAAATATGAAAGTGAAAATGAAGATGAAGTTTAAAAATATGATTGGTATGTTCATAAAATTTGAAGATTATTTTTATTTAATATTGATATTTAAAATATAAAAAGATTAAAATGCTCAAGTTAAATTTTTCTGCCGACCCAGATATCAAAATCATCATCAACCATTGCCAGAAATTACAGCCACCATCCATGAAATCAAAAAGAAGGTCCACCTTATCACATAATCAAAGACACAAAAAAGGAAACAAGATCTATGACATCTAGTTGTTTCACAAACGTTGAAGGCAGAATGGATTGAGAGGCAAAGATGGTTGGGATTTGATGATGGTGCAAGAGGGGCAGTAAACTGAAAATATTTTTTCATTAATCACTCAAACTACAATTTACACAAATAATTATATCTTCCCTCATAATTTTCCCTTACTCTTTTTCTCTTTCTCTTTTCTTTCTCTTTCTCTTTCTCTTTCTTGCTAATACTCTCTCTCACTTTTCTCACCACCTATTCACATTCTATAAGGCTACACCCACACGTACTTCTCATTCTCTCCCTTTCCTCACTCACACACTCTTGTTTCTTCTTTCTTCGTTCTCTCTTCTACACACAATGACACACACTCACATATCTATACATTAACCATGTTGGTGATAGCTTCTCCATAGCATTCTTGATTTTTCCTCTTTCACCGCCTTAAGAGGATTAAAATAATTATTCCTAGAAATCACCTTTTCACCGCCTTTGTCATATTGCTTTAACTGAGTAAATTTCTAGATTTTTCTTGATTTATTCCAACTCTAGATTTTTCCTAAACTAGTCGATGTTTTTACAACAACGATGCTGTCAGGGTAGTAAGAGGGAGTTGTAGTCATGCAAACGAGAAGAGACGAAGGAGGAGAGAGTGGAAATTACTGATAAAGGTCACAGTCGTATGCATCATTGTAAGATCTTGGCCTTCATCTTTGTTCTTTGCTCCTCCTGTGTCATCTGTGTCATTGTTAGATCTGGAAGGTGGGTCATCGTCGGCGATAGAGGGAGGAGATGATGGAGGTGGGCGTGAAGCTTGACAACTATCTCTGCTAGCGTTGTCGTCATCTTCATCAGACATGGAGGCTGAAGTAATAGAGTCTCTGAGCTTCAATTCTTCAACAATGTTCATATCCTCCTTGGATCCTCATGGTTTCAAACGCAATGAGGGAAGAGAGGGATAGAGGAACATTGATCGAAGAGTACGAGGGTGAGAAGAGAGGAAAAGGTCAAAAATGAAAGAAGGGACATGAAATTTGAAAACTGAGATTGCATGATGGCAATCAATTCCATCAGTTTTGGTGAAACTGGAATTGATAAATTTTTCAATTCCATCGTATACCAAACAAACATTTATCCCAATTTTATTTTCATATGCATTTCCATACTACACATTTCTATTATACCAAATGAAACCTTAATCTTTTATCATGCATGTCAGCGCATGTTAAAGAAATGTGATACAAAGTGCAAATCATGAGGAAGTGTCTCTAGTGGAGATATCCCATTAAACTTACAGCAAATTAGTTAGTCGTTGTATTGAAAGTTTGAGAAAGTTTGGGCTAGTTAGCTAGCTTGACTCTTAAAATACTAAACAAGATTATAAATGATGGATTAAAAATAGAGATATTCATGAGACAAGATGAGATTGAAACACCCATGTCTCATGTCCTGTCCCAAAAAAAAAAAAAAGATTTGAGACTAAATTTTGATCCCATATCTTATCTTGTCTCAAAAGTAATTCTATATCATTAGAAATCGAGATGGAATTAAGATATCTTGCCATCCCGATAAATTAAATAATGTGGGAGAAAGATATAAATAATAACATTTATTAAAATTTTAAATCACATGATTTATTAAGTTTAAAATCAAAACAATATAAGTATATAAGTTATAACAATTTAAAATCAATTATTAAATTACATCAATCACAATTATAAGTATATCACACAATATAATAGCAATTATAAGTAATCTTTTAACTATAAAAGTAACTACAACATACAAGTCAGGTACAATATAAAATTATTGTTCTTCTTCTTTAATTGAAATATGAAAATAAAGCAACAAATACGATATAAATAAAAGTTATTAAATAGATAAATATAAAAATAAATTATATTAATATAATTAATATATTATAAAGAAAGATATTATTTTATACTACTTATTCTATAAGTCTGTATCATTAGAATTATCAATATAAAAAACTTTTAATTTTAAATAAGAATTGCATGTATTGAAATTATAATTGATATAATTAATATAACTATAAATTATATTAATATAATTAATATATTTAATGTATATTTAAAAAATAAAAATAATATATATATATATATATAATATTCAAAATGAGACGAGATGTCTCGAAAGTAATCTTATGTCTCGTCTCATCTCGGATCCCTTTCTCATCCCATCCTAATTGTTTTTGAGCCAAGACAAGACCCATTTTAATATGATTAGGATGGAAATAAACCAATCAAGATGAGTACAAGTTGAACACATTTAAAGGCAGGATGTAATGCATGGCTTCCCCTCCTCACCACATTCACCTTTTGCATGCTTTTGGGGTTTGTTATCACTTTGGTGTATCCTTGAAGATTTGTTAGCCGCCCATTCTTTATTATTACTAGTCTCAATTTTTAAATTTTTTTTGTCCCGTATTGATTTTTATGTGTAATTAAATCATATTTCCGAAAACACCCTTTATATATACTTTTAGTCCCTTGGATATTTAAAGATGCAGATTTTTCATGTGACATGTAATTGAGGATAGGAACTGAAATATTGAAATTTTTACATATCATCTAGATTTCAATATTTTCGTAGTATAGATGTTCTGAAAATTTGAGACAGACCTGTGATGAAGGTAATGAATCAAAGTTCTACATGTAAAGGGTTATTATCTGTCTTGAGTGTTCAGCATTTATTATATCAAATTTCATGAATAATACTTTAATTTCATTCAGTTTGCTGTTGTTCGCGCGCATCTGAAAACCAATCACTCCAGTTTCAACATTTGAAGTTAACAATTAGCATATAAAAATTTTGAAATTTTTTTAGTAGTAAAATTTTATCCTTCATTTATTTTGTATAGTTTGAATCCCTAAATATAATAATTTATTATAATTATTAATTATAAAAAACGACAAAATTAGAATTATGTATTCTTTAACAATTATAAAAATACAACTATTATTATTTTTTAATAAGCGTGAAGTTGATTAAATTTATTTTATATTAATAACAGGATGGAGTGTGTGTGTGTATTGAATTCATCTTCCATCCTTCATTCCTGACATGTGTATATTATTATTGTGAAATTTGTTTGCATTTGACGTCAAGATTCTCACCATCATACGAACCCCAAAAACTCAAAAGCAAGTAAAGCCTAGCATAAAGTCATAAACACACAATCACGACAGAATCATAAATTATCATCAAAATATATTTCATACAAATGGTCTACTGCTAAGGTGACCAAAACTCACTGAATTGGAAAACCAGGTTCTTCATCATCAATACTTACTTACTCATACTGTGAGAGGGTTCATATCTTCTCATCCTGATTTATTGGCTGCCATGGAACGCACATAGTTAAAGCCGAAACTGAAGTAGTCAACAACAGATTCTCTGGGAGGCAAGCCATGTTTGACAGGTGAAGTCTGCAACAAGTTGAGGCTCCATTCATGAAGATGAGGGAACCTCTCAGCAGTGAGCAGTTCCATGTCTCCAAGCTGTTCCAAGACATTAAGCCAATGAGGAATCCAACCTGCTACAATGTCCAAATACCCTAACTCTTCTCCTCCAAAATACTTCTTCCCTTCAACCTGCTTATCCAGAAGTGCTAGCGATTCCAGAGCTGATTCTATGGCTTTCTCTTTTCCTTCTCCTTGTGCCACGCCAGCTCCCCACACAGCACTCACGCACTGTAAATTTCATCACCAAACAGAAACAGCTTTATTATGTGCATATTTTTGCCAACCAGTTAACTGATAGAGTCTATGAAACAAAAACCCCAAGCTCAAAACACCAAAAAGCATGATGGATATAAATATGCATGTTAATAATAGTCCTCTGTTTCACACAGAGTAAGGAATATACTCTCCCTATTCAATATTATAAAATATTTTTTTTAAAGTATCATGTTTAAAAATATAAGTCATTTGGATATTTTAAGATGTAATTAATACGATTTTTTTTTGCTAAAAAAACCCTTGATTAGAAGTATAATTAATAAAATTAGTTAATTAAGACAATCTATTTATTATAAATATAAAAATAATATGTAATTTTAACTGATATTAGCTAACTTATTAGGGTGTAAATTAGTTAAAATGTCTCATAATACTTAACAGAAAAAGTAGGTGAGATCAATAAATATGTTTGATATTTAATTTTTTCCTAAAATGCTCTTATTGATCGTTTGACTGTGTATTTAATTTTTTCTAGTAATATAAAATGCATCCCTTGCCATTGTGAGGATTCAAACTCAGAACCTCAGGATAAACACCAGGTGACTTTGTATTTTATGATACTAATTAATTTATGCTAACTTAATGAGGGTAAAAAAAAAAACAAAAGAAAATTTTTAATAAATGCAAGGAACAATGAACAGTTGTTCTTTATATTTAACCCAAAAAAAGACCTTATTTATTTATTTATTTATTATAAAGAGGTTCTGACTTCTGAGGGAGTATTTAGCAAACTTGGTTGTAGTAGCTAGTCAAATTTGACAGTCAGCTCAGCTGGGATATTGTTACTTCTATCACAACTCTGAGCGTGGTTAAGATTCTGTATTGAAATCAGATTTAAACATTACACTTGACCTGGTGCAATTAACTGAAAGGATTACTTCATAGCTGGATAAGTTTCAATTCAATCCAATCCAACAAGCAATATCGACTCATGATCTTGACGAAAGCCGTATGTTAAGAGGTGATTGATATAACCAGTATCATATTTTACAAAGACCTGGTAAAGATCCGAAATCAGATAAGATTACATCAATATATCATTTGAACTGATGCTGTTGAGTGAATTGAATAATTAAGTCTCGACTAAAAGTTATAACTCTTGAATTAATTTCCAGCAATCGATCAAACTAAAAATTTATTAAAGAAATGAGGAGAAAGATACATAGAAACTGAGATGAATAATTATTGTTCTCATCGTACCTTCTCATCGATAAATCTCGCCCAGAAACGAGCATGGGCTCGTTTAAAAGGATCGTATGGTAGCAAAGGGTTTTGCTTCCAAGTCTCGTCGATGTACTCGAGGATGACGAGGGATTCAGCAATAGGTAAGCCGTTATGGAGAATTACAGGTACCTTCTTGTGCACAGGATTGGACTGAAGAAGCAGATCGCTTTTGGCGAGTAGATTTTCTTTGATGTATTCGTATTCCACCCCCTTCATCTTCAAAGCCCATTCGATTCTGGCGCAGGGAAAGCTCTGAGGAGTGGCGATCAGCTCCACTTCCGCCATTTTTGCGGCCGGCAAGAGGATCCTCGATTGATTCTTTTGATTAAACTTGCCGATCCAACAGCTTCGTTCTTCATTATCAATCTCATTTGGCGCCTATTTATTAATGAAAAATGATCATCTGGCCTCGTCAGAGGGAGTCAACGTTCAAAATTTGTGTCCTAATTGAAAACCCAAAAAACCAAAACGGTCCGTTCCCAATACTTTGGTTTTTAATAACACCAATACCTTTTCTTAATCAAAAACAATTCTTTAAACATCAAATTAAATCAATTAGGATTAGGATAATTATTTAATCTTATAACTATATTTAATAAAATAAATTTTTTACTGTTAATTTGTCTGCTTGCCCTAAAAAATAAAATATAATAAGAAGTTCATTTGCCACATGAGTCAGGTAGCTTATTTATATGGAAAACAAAGTTTGAGTTGGCTTCATAAAAAATAAAATTTAAAAATTATATGATGATCAACATATTATGTTTTATCAATGAAATAATTGAATTATTAATGATATGGTGTTGTTTGCATGAATTTCTAACACGGTTAGTTTTATTAAAAAAATGTTAACATTAAATTCTTAAATATTGACAAAATATTTTAAAATATTAACATAATAATTTTTTAAAGAATAACAATTATTGATATAAAAAATTATTATTTAAGATTAATTGTGTTAGGATTGGAAAATTATACAGATATTTTATAAAATTAAGAAATAAACTGAAATTTTGATATAAAATTAAAGAATCAAAATGTACTTTTGTCTAAAATTATTTATACATATAAGAGATGTGCTCATATTTAGTACTCAATGATGTCTCAAATAAAATTGTCTCTAATAAAAAAAACCTATAAGTAAGAAAAAAAATCAAGAAAAAGCTTGTAAATTTAATCAATTATTTAAAACATATTCTAAAATTAGTACTTGAAATTTGGCTAACAGTTTAAAATTTAGGGGAGCTTGTAATAAGTTTACCTCAAAATATATTTTTTTTGTAACTCTCATAGTATGTTTTAACTATTATGAAAATAGAGATTGAGAGAAGGATAAAAGAAAAAAAATTATAATGAAAGAATTGAGAACTTTGTCATTTCAATATGTTGAATACAACCAATGTGTCTGCTATAGGCACAAATGTAATTGGCTAAATCAAATAAAATATATAAAAGAATAATTTCAAAAGGCATTGGAGTAATTAAAAGATATCAAAGTAATTGACGGATATAGACATCCACAAAATTCTCTAATATTCATAACATTTTTTTCTTGAATGTTCTAATATTATGTTTCATTAAAATAAAATAAAAAAACTTAATGGAACAAAAACTTAGTGAAAAAAAAATAGCGCACAATATTTTTAACTTTATTAAAGTTGACTGATTAAAAACTTCCCCCAAAAATCCAATGAGACAAAATATAACCTTTACTTTTCCTGCAAAAGTATCACTCCTTGTTCTTTAGTTTGCTTGAGCCATTGTATTTTAAATTTGTGTTTCAATTTCTTAAATATTGTTCGTCATTGATATCTTTGTGAGATGATATTCTCTTCCAGTTGGACTATACATAAATCATTATTTTCATGTAATATTTTGAAATATTTCTTCTATACATATATGAATACATTTTTTATTTGTTGCATATTTCATGGGAGTAGCAAAACAATCTTGATATATATATATATATATATATTTGCAAATAAATAACTTCTTGGAGGCCTACCCGTGTAGTTCAAACTAGATATATATATAACACATATGCATAATTAATTAATGTCGATGCTAAATAAATTCAATGATGCAACCATATATAATTTATCAGACAGATCATATCAAATAAGTAATTACATTGCAAGTCAATGCTATACCATAAATAATTGTGATATGAAAGTATTTATATATGGTACGTTAGGGTCATATTTGATTTTTTTTTTACAAAAAAAATCTTGATCCACATCATCTTAACATCTTTCTTTAACAGCCAAGTACTCATATAAACTCTTCAGAATATTCTATAATGCTAAATCAATCTATATATATATATATATATATAATTATATGAGAAAATATAAAAATGAAGAAATTTTTCAAAAATCTCTATAAGCTTTTATCATCTTGAATTCTTTTGGAATTTTCAAGTAAATATCATTGTACAATGAGCCATATAAATAAGCTAGCATTATGAACACATATTTTATATCTATACTGCTAGACTAATAACATGTTAAAAAATCATTTCATCAACCACAAAATAATATATTGATGCATATTTTGAATCTTTGTAACATATTCTTATATTTAAAGTTAAGCTTTGCATGTGATATTTTATATTTTTCTTTCTCATAGATAATTATGTACAATATCATACTTCAAGTGCTTGAATTATAAGTTCACAACTTTCATATCATGAATAAGTAAATGTAATTCTACTTGTATTGTGTCTTTTTTTCTAATCTGATTAGCTCTGTATCCACATTCTATTAAGATCCTCATTTGAATGCAATAAAATCATTGAAAGTACTATCGACAACTTTATTCTTAACAATTTTATCATTTCTCATGTTAACATAACTTCTCAAGATCTTTATTGTTATTTGGTATCTAATTCTCTTTTGGGGACTTAAAGTCAATTGTGTCTTTACTTCTTTTAGAATATCAATCTCCTTAATATGATTATATTGATTCTGTACTCTTCTTGTCTCTTTCTATAATATTTTATTTTTTTGGAACCAATTTTCCTTTTATGTTTTAGGCATGATTCAATTTTTTTCTTTGTATCTCGAAGTATTGTCAACTAGAACATGAATTTAATAATTTTCATTGCGTCAATATTTACTTATAACAGTTCTTTTCTAATATTTTATGAACTTTTGATTTATATATATATCTATATATGAGAATATATAGAGAATGTATTCATTCAACTTTCATTTCCAGCTATTCATTATCTCTCCCTCATTTTGAGATAACAAACCATGCAATATAAGCCTTTTATATTCAATTATTTTCTATAAAAACATCCTTTTGTTTCATTTAGAAGCAAACAAGAAGTATCTTACCCAATATTTACTCCTAACTTTATTTGAACATACATTGAACTATGGTGGAGCAATCAAAATTTATGGTTATAGTTAGAAAATTAATTTTAGGAGGTATTCACAATACTTTATTAAATTGATGCATACAAGTATTGCAATATGCAAACTTGCATATTTTATGAAAAATCTTGCTTTTCTAATATTGGTCTAATCATTTCATTGAAGGCATAAATAATTTTAATGGACCATCATGACAAATAAGCTTGTCTTCACATCAAAATTTATTGAAGCTTAAAATATGAAATTACTCACAATTTCAAGCGAATCATTTCAATCGCTAGACTGAAAAATGTACATATAATATAATTTTGTTCCTCACAAACTTTGGGTTGTGAACTGATTAATATATATCTATGTGATTACCTTGTAGATACATTTATTAATTTTATTATATTTTTATATGGTTCACATGGTCCCTAAATGAGCTCATATCAACTTAATTTCTTTCATATATTTGGGATACAATCACAAGTATAACTAATGATAATCTAGTAATTTTCTTTAAGCAACGTATGAGAATTCATCAAGTATAGAACATGTTAGCTATTTAGGAAGAATCTTCTAATTTTTCAATGATAAATTATCAATACTTTGCATCAATACTAATTTAAAATGATCTAACTGATCATACCAAATCATACCAGTACACTTTTAGTATACTATATCAAGTTAATAGTAAAATTTCATTTCAGTATAATAATTTATCTATTATTGTAGACTTTTAACTACAATTATAATCTTAATATGACATTCAATAATCAGTACAACAAAATATTTGAAACCCAAGAAAAAGAGCATCACAAATAAATTTTTCCTAGTGAGTATGAAAATTCCTTGAAGGCCTCAATCAATTTTGTTCTTCCCAATACAACACTAACACCACTTATTTTCTAATGATTGATTTCTTGATCCTCACCCTTAAATATTGTTTAAAGATAATATTTTTTTCATTGTATAGCTTTAATTCAATGATAAAATAATAATACAAATTTTCAAAAGTTCTTCTAGAACTAAATCACAACTTTTAAAACTCTTGCTATTCTTTTATAGCTTTTACAATTATTTATCATAATGATAGTCGGATTTGAATATCAAAACATAATCATTATACTGTACATTCTAAGTGAATTAAAATTCATTATATGTTATAAATATTGTAAGAAAAAAATCAAGTCAACTATATGGACATATGATTGAAGAATTTAAAGAAAATGAAAAATATGTGCACCTACTCACCTCTTTATAGGGAATTTTTTTGAGAGAAAATCATTCCTTAAAAGATTAATCTTCATACACTCTTAGATGACCCATAAAAATTTTGTTAAAATTTTTTTCTCAATAAAATAATTACAATTATCTATATACAAACATTTTCATAAATTTATGGTTATAATGGCTTTTCGTAATCATTCATTGATATTTTCTCAATACCTCATAGTCTTTTAAGGCCAAATAATTACAACTGGCATTAACATTCCTCATGTTTAATAAATAATAGAAATTATGTCAATGTGGTTACATGCCATATTTTTCTATAACATAAATTTTATTGCCTATAATATTCAGGATTATAGGAAAATAATATTTTAAACCCAACAATTGTTTTTGAACTATTAGCCTTCAAGGCTATAGTAATTAAAACAATTGAATTAATAATCAAAATGTCCATCAAAATTTTACAAAATTTATATTAATCATTAGGGTCATAAATTATCCTTTTATAGAATAGTTGTGGTTAAAATTGATATGGCTTCTAGCCATATAATAACAAAATCAATCATGGCTCTCAATTAAGTAATCATAAAATTAAATATGATTTTTGGCTATGTAATTATAAAATCAAATATGCTTTTTGCCATGTAATCATAAAATCAAATATGACTTCTCGCTATATAATTATAAAATATAATTTGGTTGCAGGCCATAAAATCACACAATCCATTATGACCATAAAATGATCATTTATAAAAGAATAAAAATTTAAGAGAAAATATAATTTTAAATTCTTGTACTTTATTCAAGTTTTGTTATGGGTCTCTATAATTTATTTTTAATGTTATAAGTCCCTACATTTTTTTTATTTTGCTATTTTAGATCCCTATAATACTGCTCATGGAAGAATTTAAAATAAAGAAAAATAAAAGTGTAGGGATTTAGAATATAAAAAATAAAATGTAAGAATCTATAACAAAACTTAAGTAAAGTGTAAGGACTCAAAGTTATATTTTTTTAAAATTTAAAGTGACGTAGCTTTAGACCATCTAGTCACATAATCAAAATAATATATCTACCAATCATCTTATTGCAAAAATATTGAAGAGAACCAAAAAGAAGAAAATTAAAATGAGATATATAAAATACATAAACAACAGATTATACGCGCGCGCGCACATATTTTGAACCTCCTTAGTTCATTTGATAAGAGTTGCGTAGGGATAGCTGGTTTATAATTTTGGATATTAAGCATCCTTAAGTGGGGCCTTTTTTTTTTGGTTATTTCTTTTCCTTTCTATCAAAAATTAAACAATAAATAGAATATTTAACAACATGACAGACAGACATACATACAACTAACATTGGCAACCTCATATTACATGATCAGAAATAGGATATTAAATTATGATTAAAACAAATGAAGTAAACAAATTAAAATATAATAGTTATGAGTTTTTATTGTAAAATAATAAAAAAAGAGTTTATAGAATAAATAAATATATGAAGATAGATGTATTCAGGATCTACTTATATTGTGTAAATAGCTTCAAAATCCACCCTAAGTTTTATGAATAACTTCAGGATCTAATTTATCTTTTATATAAATAACTTTATAATTCACTTTATATTTTACATGGATAGCTTCGAAATCTATTTTTATATTTTATACAAATAACTTCAAGATTCATTTTATATTATGTGTGAATAACTTCATGATCTACTTTTATGATAGCTAAATGAATTATATATATAAATAATGGATTAAACACAAGGAATTTTTTTGGTAAAAAAATAAAGAATTGAATGCAAGATAAATAAATAAATGAATATATAAAATAATAATAATCAAAAGATATCGAAGTACTCCTTGGCTACAGTGGGGGTTTGTTCCACTAAGTTCTTGGTTGCCCATTTTGTAGTTTATACCTCCCTCTAGCTTTGGCTACTCACTTAAAAGGAAAAAAATATATTAAAGTAATTGGAAAACATGAACATTACCATTGATGAATCTAGAAATAAATACATGGAGGGCAAAATTAGAAATACTAATTTTCACAATTTTTATATGTAAAATTAAAAAAAATTCAAAAAGAAGGTGAAATTAGTGTTGGCGGGGGGGGGGGAGCACCCCCTTGGCCGCCCCCTCGCATTTTTAACATCACAAAATTTTCTAACATTCACAACACTGACTTTTCTCTCGGGGTAAAATATGTTTTAACATGATCCTATATGATACGAACTTAAGAAGCATATTTTGACGCATAGGATGAGATTGAGAAGGGGAAGAAGACGGGATTCTTTTGCAAACTGCTATAGATTCATATCGTGGGATGTGCTCAAAGTGACGGGCCGCAGGCCTGCGACACACAATTTTTCCAAACGACACCGTTGAGACGATAAAGTCATAAATGGTGATTAATTCCATCAAGAAAACGGCACGCCGTTTCATGAAATGCGGGGCCTGACCAAAGAAAAGCGGCAGTGTGGGGAAGTTGCCTTGACGCTCTTTGTAGTTTGACGGCGTTCAGCTTCTTTCACTTTTTGTTTGCTAGCCTTGCTTTCAGTGCTCGGTAAAGCTTGATGGGGGCTCTCAACGGCTTTCTTGTATCTTGATTGCTTTCCGCCAAAGCCCTAATTAGTTCGTAATGTTTAACTTGTAAATTCCTAATTCTTAGTTTTGAAGATGAATTAGCTTCGATAATACCACCGAGACAAAAATTCGGGGGTCGAAAATGTCGAACATCGATCCGTCTAAGAAAGTAGCCGATAGATATCTGAGGCGTGAAGTCCTCGGCGAAGGTACCTATGGAGTTGTATACAAAGCTATTGATACGAAGGTAACGCCATATCAAATCATTTGCTTTTGTGCTCATTTATTATTTATTTGGAACAAACTTATCTTGCATTTCGTAGCAACATGATTTTTAAAAAACGGAGGAAATTGGATCAGTTAAGATGATTAGGAAAATAGATTTCGATCTCTTAATGTGAATGACGAGCCCTTCTTGGTTGATAAAAGTTGATGAACCAGATATTCATTGATTTCCAGATAGAACCTTACAATATTATAAATAAACACTCGAGTGTTTTCAATGGTTTGTTTTTCTAAGGTTCCAATAACTCGCATAGGCCATAGGGTGTTTAGTTTCTTGCCTTCTCTGGACTTTGAATGTGTGCCATGGGGTATGAACAAGAATTTCTTACCCTTTGTTGATACAAAGGTGGTATCCTTTTATCAATTGGTGGTCTTACGAAGCTGAATTCTATGCTTGAACAGACAGGACAGACAGTTGCTATTAAAAAAATTCGACTTGGCAAGCAGAAGGAAGGAATAAATTTTACAGCTCTTAGAGAGATTAAACTGCTCAAAGAGCTTAAAGACCCCAACATTATTGAGTTAATTGATGCATTCCCACATAAAGGAAATTTGCATCTTGTGTTTGAATTCATGGAGACAGACCTTGAAGCTGTTATACGAGATCGGAATATTTTTCTTTCACCTGCTGATATAAAATCCTACCTTCAAATGACACTTAAAGGTCTTGCTTATTGCCACAAGAAATGGGTTTTGCATAGGTAAAGTATGTTACTGTTTGTTCACTAAATATAATATTACATGCTTTTTAGCGATGAGTGAAAGGTTTGCTTATAAATCCTCAGGGATATGAAGCCAAATAATTTGTTGATAGGACCAAATGGACAGCTGAAACTTGCAGATTTTGGTTTAGCGAGGATATTTGGGAGCCCAGATCGAAGGTTTACTCATCAGGTTTGCTTCTTTATTCAGAGTGCATTGATCCTTTTCAATATGTGGGCACCTAAAACTTGACTCAGGCTCTGGAGATGAGTTCCTTTCTTTTAAATAAAACTCAACATTCTGTGTGAAACTTTGAATTGATAATTCATGGAATTCTGTTTGTTATCCTACTTTCTGCGGATTCTCTTGCTACAATCTAGCAATGCTCCCTAATGATTGGATGTTACAGAACTGGTAGAGGACTTACACTTTAATGATTTACCTGATATGTTGAGGAAGTTCTGTTTTAGAATATAACTTAAAATCTTCATAATGATAGCTGCTTTGTCTTTGAAATATTATAAATTTTAATTTTAATAAATTATTTCCTATTGTTTATTGCCTTTTAAAATGGGTATACAGGATAAGGAAAGAAAACTTTTGCTTATTCAAAATTGGTAATTGGTGGAAGAAGAGCCTTTTCAGATTTCTTGTTTTCTAGCTTTTCATTCACTTCGATCATCTATTCATGCTTGCTAACAACTTAAAGGGCTTGCCAAATGTTTCTTTATGCATTCCAATCAGTTTAGTTGTTTCCATTAGTAACTTCTGCATATTATTAAGCACGCCCTGTTTTATTTCAAGGCTTGTCTTTTATGCTTTCTTCAAGTATATGGATCTCCATGCTTGCCACTTATGCTAATTCTGTGAATAGGTGTTTGCTCGGTGGTATAGAGCACCTGAGCTGTTATTTGGGGCCAAACAGTATGGGTCAGGTGTAGACGTTTGGGCTGCAGCTTGTATATTTGCTGAACTTCTGCTTCGTCGACCCTTTTTGCAGGTAAGGGAAGATTCTTAGTAACTATTTAGAATCAATTGGTGTATTTGAATATGTCTTCAGACCATGGAATTTGATCTTTGAGCTTTTAATCATTTTTGCCATTTTCAATAGAAAGATCTACTTAACTTTATCAAATTGTTCGTATTGCAGTTTGACTAAACCCTTTAGAGCTGTTCTAAGGAACTGTTTAGCTCAGAAGCTGCTGGTTATGTTGATGTTATTGGCTATTGATTTAACTTCCATCTAGGCCAGCTCTCATGTTTCGTCACATTGGCCATTTGTTTAAATTTTTTTAGTGAAAAAACTTATATGTACTTTGAAGATGCAATTTGTTATGTTGGCTATTTTATTCATGTTCTTCTTTATCTGCTACTAATCAATCGTTCGTCATTGAAATTCCTGACTGGTTCTCTCATTTTCTTAATATTGATAGGGTTCAAGTGATATTGATCAATTAGGAAAGATTTTTGCTGCATTTGGGACCCCAACATCTTCTCAGTGGCCTGATATAGTATACCTTCCTGATTATGTTGAATACCAATATGTTCCAGCTCCACCTTTGCGTTCTTTGTTCCCAATGGCAAGTGATGATGCTTTAGATTTGTTGTCAAAGATGTTTACGTATGATCCCAAAGTTAGAATTTCAGTGCAGCAGGCGTTAGAGCACAGGTATGTTATGTGCCTTAACATCATATAAAGATGTCAATAACTGTATTACATCACATATTTAATCTTCTTTTTCTCTTCAGGTATTTTTCCTCCGTGCCTCTGCCCACGGATCCTGATAAGCTTCCTAGACCTGCCCCAAAGAAGGAACTTAAGGCTTCTGATTTCAATCCACACGAGGGCCCAACTGTTCTGTCACCTCCAAGAAAGTCTAGGAGAGTGATGTCAGGGCATGATGGATTTGAAGGAAATGCATTGCAAGGAGATAAAGGTGACAATGTTGGTGATTACATGCAAAAGGTTGGTGATAATACAGGCAACAATGATTCAGCCGCGACAGCTGTAGACTTTTCTATATTTGGATTAAATCCTCCAAATAGGCCTACAATTAACAGGTAAAACAACATTGATCATCTTAGTGGTCAAACTGGCTGTAATTTTAGTTCAAGTCAAACACAATCAGATCATAGACATTGCTCTTCAGCTTGCACATTCAGCCGCAATTCTTCTGCTAAAATTATTTAAGTTGAAGAGTTATAAGTAAAGCTAATGTAGCACATCATCACACGTGCTGTTTTTATTTTTGCCATTGGAATCGGATTTACTTTAAGTGGCGTTTGGATAGATGGATTTGCATTTCAATTTTACATTTAAAATCTTTTGTTTGGGTAGTGAAATCCACACCAATAAGAATGAGTTGTCGTATTTGTGTGACTTGTCCACATGTTTGAGTAGTATTGAAAGAGGATGGTTGAGATTTGAAATAGTTAGGGTAGATTAGGTATTTGAAATTCTTAACAAATTGTAATAAAAAATTTTTTTTGATTTGGATTTGAAAGATTATTTTCATATCATCATGTGGATAGAGATAAGCGCACTTTTTCTCCCATGACTCCACCTTAGTAACAGCGCAATTAAAAGGCCTGGACTTGAAGCATGCTTGTCTTCTGATATATGATTTCAGATGAAGTAGAAAGACAACCAAGTTACAGATTGATAATTATTTCTTAGGCAAATTTCGATATACTTAATATTTATACATAATCTTTAATTTGTGAATAGCTGTGTATTATGCCGTACTGATCATAGCTGCAAGAAAATAACTGATACATTATGGACAGGGTAATTGATTCTGTTTTTCTTTACTTTTATAACTACATCTTTTCACTAGGGTTGGCTGTGGGCCAGATCTTTTTCATTATTTAATTCATGTAAATGATGCTGACTAGTTTTTAATCCCACTTTTGGTTCTGCAGTGCTGACAGGTCATATCTGAAAAGAAAATTAGATCTAGAATTTCAGCATCCAGATTGAATATTCTAGGACAGGAGTGATAAGACCGAGGATTACAATTGCTGCATGGCCCTCATCTGTGTGTCTCCATGGAAAGCTACTATGGATGTGGAGGTATAAAGGAGAAAGTAGCAGTCACAGAAACTTAACGACTCACTTGAATTTTAGTTTGGGGACCCAAAATAACTGCTGCTTATTTAAAATCCCCCCCAATTTGAAGGGCGTCCCACTTGGCCTCGTATCTGTTGCATCCAAAAGTTATTGTGTAAGTTGTTTGCTATAGAACATAAAAATGTACGTTCACATGTGCTTCCAAACAGGTTGTCATTACATTTATCTCACTGAATACAAGTACTTATTTATAGAAATGGTGCCTGATTTTCCTGGTTCTTTGCAATTTTGGTTGTTCATGGAGCCCAATTTTATGTCTTTAAAAGTTCCAAGTGTTCCTGTAATAGTCAGTTTGGACCTTTGGATGCACTTTGGCAAACTTTAGTCAATGGACGAGCAGAATTCTTTCATTACATAACTATGACAATATCTTCTCTGTATACCATACTCAGTTTTACATTTTATGCTAGTGATCTTCGTTTCATATGCTAAAATAGTGTGACTTTCAGAATTACGGCTCCGTCAATTAGTAGCATTTAGGTTACTTGCTGGGACTCTGGGACCTTGTACCCTTATTGCAGCATTCTTAGCCTAAACAAAAAATGATTTTGTTAGGTTCTCAGCTCACCAAATAATACAGAGTTGAAGATATATAAGAGGATGCCTTACTTCTTTCTCCCAGTTGGTGCGCATGGTAATAAGAAGAAGACATACCACTTGCACAACAAGTGCTAATGCGATGCCCATCCAGAGGCCCTTGTGTGTGATAAACCAAAATTATTCAAAACAAGTAGGTTCAATTGAAATATTTTGCTGCAGGAAATTGATTCTTACCTTTACTTTCATGTGGAGGACAATAGCAAAGACTACAGCAAGAGGAACACCCACAAGATAATATGAGCCAAGATTCACAAATGCACCAAGTTTCTGCCAACCACATCCTCTTGCAACACCTTGTTTACAAAATATTGCCAATTGCTTAGCAATGGTCAAGTTCACATATGCATAGAAACATGTTCCATCGACACGGAAGTTAAAACAAATATAGTATGCATGCAACTTAATCACAAGTTTATCTGGCTTTTATTTAAGGATCAAGAATAAGTGATGTGCAAACGAGCAGAAGCAATGTCAGTACCTGAGAGTACAGTTTGAATTGAATCCATAAAAGCGGCACTCGCCACAACTGGGAGCATGGATGCCACATATCTCACCACTTCATGTACATTGGTAAATGCCCCACCCCAAATATTCCTTAATATCATTAGCAGAGAAAACTCCAAAACTCCCACTATGAGGGCCATGGATAAGGTGACTTCAAGTGCTAATTTTGCAGCTTTTGGATAGCCGGCCCCTAGTTCGTTTGATATCCTTGTACTGTGGAGTTGAGATACATAATAAAACTAGTCAAAGTCCACACTAGCATCAAATTAATCCTTGCTACACTAAAAGCCATATATATAAACTTCCGTTGGAGTTGTTTTGCATAACAAAAACAAAAAAAAAACAAAACAAAACAGTAATAAATTTTAGCAAGAAACAACTGACCTTGCAGCAGCCGCAATTCCAAAGGGCAACATCCATAACAGACCAGATGTGTTAAGGCTGGGGAACGAGGAGTTCAGAATCCATAAGAGAACATATATGTGTGCGCGTTCACGCGCGCATGCCATAAAGAGTTCAGTACAATACAAACTAGAGCGTAGCTCCTAATAGAAAAACTTACCATATAGAAGAAACTGAAGTTTGTAGTTTTGGATTAGGAAAAGTACCAGACAGGATCACCATCAATTCAAACGTCCATGCTTCCAAGCTGTTACACAGAAAATCCATAGAATAGCATGAAATCCTCTCAACAATGATCATACCTTTACAAATCACCTAGGAAAGTAGATAGTAATTAGGTTCTTGCAGGACAATTATATTCAATAGTGGAGGAGGAGGAGGAGGAGATGAACAAAATATTGGACCCTTAGGTGAGTAAGCTGAAGGTGAGGATCATACCAGATCATGAGAGCTGAAGGAAGAGCGAGTCTGAAAAATTGGGGGATGTTATGAAAGGATTCTCTTGAAAAGCCCGTCCAAGTTCTCTTGCATGAAGAAGAGTACTTGATATAAAGTGCTAGCAATAGCAAGCTAATCCAATTTGAAATGCAAAATGCGATGGCAGCTCCCTTGATGCCAAGCTCAGCTTTTAGGACCAAAACCCAACAAAAAAGGACGTGAATTAAGCTTGAGATTCCAGTAGTTAGAACCATAGGGAAGACTATGTTCTGGTTTTGTAGGAATTTGATATTGCACTGAAGAAGACCGTAGGCAAAAAGACTTGGAATCATGTAACGAGCATATACTCCAGCTTCTTTTGCAATATTGTGATCTTGATGCAGTGCAACCAGAATAGGTCTTAAGTTCGCCAAAATAATAGACTGGGCTACGGCAACAAGTAAGATGACCAACATGCCTCTCTGCATATGTATGCCAAGCATGTGATACTGCTCTGCTCCATATGATTGACCACAAAATGTGTCCAAGGCACTCGCCATTCCCATCTAAAGCAATAAACAAAGTAACTTTTGAGTTTTGAGCATATGTAAATTAAAGGGCTCTAACATTGATGAAAACTGAAACGTTGAGGAAAGCAAGAGACAATGAAATTCAATGGCCAGGATGATTAGACCACTAAAACCAAATAACTATTGAAACTTTCATGAAATCACTTCAGCTTTTAAAAAGCGTAATATCAAGCACATGGTAATCAACATAACAAACGGGGTGTTTGATGTTGAAAAAGGCGTGTCCTAAGGCTAAATCTCATGATTCAATATGATATGAGCATAATAAACGTAAACAGCAAAAGATATTGAGATATGGGAACAATGGCATACTAAAGACTTGCCGTAATTTGCATGAACATGTTATAGATAGCGGAAATGCAGAAGCACAGAATAAACATCGTTAACGTACCAGTACCATAAAACCAGTGGCATTGAGGAAAGAAGTAGCCATGGAAGCACCAGACAGGGTCAACTCTCCCAAATGACCCGCAAACATTAGCGATGTCAGTTGTAAACTGTACATGAACAAGCTCACAGCAATCATTGGTCCTGCCAACCATAGCTGTTTCTTTGCTTCGCTTGCAATTTCCTTTCTCCACAATCCCATTTCTCGTTCTACTCCCTATCTCTGTGTCACGCTGCTTTTTGGGCAAATGCCTCAATTCAATTCTCTTCTTCCCTAAGCCATTGAACGCTACTGAGCAATACCCAGATGCATATCAAGGACTTGAATATATGGGAACGCCAAATGTGAAGAGCCAAACGCGGACGCATGGCCAGGTGGCAACTATATATGTGAAGTGAAATTAACTGTGCCGATGGGGCTCACTAAGGAGTAATGACCTTATTTGAAAAAACAAAAAACAGAAGAAAAGAAAAGGCAATTTTTTATTTTCTAAATTCAGTGTTATACTCCATGGTCCCTTGGTCCCTATCGTAGAGTACCGTCTAGAAGCTTTTTTTGGTTGGTTATTGATTACATTTTTTAATATTATTTTTATTTAAATTCATTAACTATGTATGAGAGAAAATATAATGTAAATTTAAAAAAATTTCATTTAAAAAAGTGTAAAATTAAAAATTTATTCTATTTTCAGATAAAATTAATAACTTAACTACCTTTCTATCATTCTAATAAAGTAGTTGAAAGTGCTTTATAAAAGAGAAAGAGAGGGAATATCACCTTTTTTTTTTCAACTTTTATGCTAAAAAATACTCATGCCATCCCTATTTATAAGCTATTTTAGACAAAATTATGCATACATACTTTTTTTACAACAAAAATATAAATTTATAAAAATATCCTTTATTTAATATTCTATTTGTGAAACAATAATAGAGAAAAAAAAAAGAAAATATAATGGAAAGGATAATATAGAAAAAAATTTATTAATAAAATTTTATTTTTAATAAAGTACCTTATATTTTGGTACACAAAATCTCTCCAAAAGTATTTTATTAATTTAATTGGGATAAAAAGAGTACTCTATAAAGAATTTTAGGTCATGTTTGGTACGCAGGTTTCAGTTTTGAGGGATTAGTATTGGGATTGGGAATAAAGTTTTAAAATTATGTTTGGTATGTAGGAATATTTTGAAAGAATACCTTATTTTATTTTATTTTTTACTTAAATATAAATTATAAAAAGACAAAGATACCCTTTAAAATAATAAAAACAGAAAATAAAAACCAAACGTGATCATCCCTTTGTCTTGTCATTTCTTCTTCTCACCGATGAACTTCTGCGACGGTGAACTCAAGGAGATCTCTGGCTTCCATTTTCGATCATCGAGCTCCATATTGTGAAGGGTTTCGTTCACGCCGTTCTAATTTCTCTCAGCTCCATCAACTCGTAAGCGCCTCTAAGCCGAAAATCAAGAGCCAAGGAGAGTGTGTCAGGTATGCTTTGAAGCCTTCGAACTCTGCCTTTGATTTACTTCGGACTCTACCGTTGAGCGAGGAGATGAGCGAGGGGCCCAGGTTAGTGGGGCCCACCTTGGAATCTGAGGCCATGTTTGGCCTGAAGTGTCGGTGAAGCTCAGGTTCTTTCGTTCTTGTTCAGTCGGGAAGTTACATTTCTATGATTCGGAATTCTATATCCTGTTTATTCCCTCAATAATTCTTGGTGATTTGACAAAGTCAGCTTGTTTCGCGTTCGAATGAATGCCAATTATTGCAAATTGGCGCCTCGAAGTTTAAGATTTACTCCTTAACTTTGTTGCCTATACTTCTGGGCTTGGAATTTTCATTTATATAACTATTGGATGTTAAAGTCCGGTTTTCAGATCAACTAGAGATTTCTTCGGTATTGAATTGTTCCATATGTTGGCAAAAAAAAAATTATTCATTTGTTTAATTTGACTTTGTTGCAATTGATGACTTCAATTTGCAGAATCTGGATCTCCCGAGGATTGATCGGATTATCTGATGCTCTCTTTGATCTCAAGGTCTATCCATATTTCTCGTCACATACGCATATAAACTTACTCTGCGCATGCCAGTACTGAAAAGAAAGTAGTTTTGACGGGCGTTCTTTGTGTGAAATTACTTCAGGACTGCCAATAGCTGCCATTGAGCCGGTGCCAGAGAGTTCTGTGTCGGACATGGAGGAGCGAACCATAAAAGAAAGAGAGAGATGGTGGAAGATGGGTTTGAAGGCTATATCAGATGGGAAGTTGGCTGTGTTGCTTTTATCGGGTGGCCAGGTACTTCTGCGATTGCTTAGAATCGTTATTATTATTATTATTATTTTCATGTTCTAATTGCTGAAGAGATCCTCGATGCCTTTTGGCATAATCCTTCTTTTGATTTTTTGTTTGTTTGTTGGTTTAATTGAGTGCTCTGTTATCTTGAAGATTTGTCTTCCCCTTCAGAAGTTGGTGCTGTGATTAGTGAACTTTACTTCTTTGAAAGGGGCATTACTTAGGTGATAAAGATAGTAATTCACAATGCGATTTCCCCTTTTTTTTGGGTACTTCCTGAAACATTATTTTGGCATGATGTTGCCTCTTTTTGTCACTGATTTGATTGAGGGCAAAAAGAAGAGCTCAAGTGAGCATGAAGATGAAAATGTCAACAAGTGCAACTCCAAGAGGTGCCATTTTAGCCATTCCTTTTCAAGCTCCATGAAGAACATACAATTTTACTCCATTTTAGCCATTTGACACCCTGATTTCTGCAAATAAACATACAAGATGGAAATAAGGAAATAAGGAGCGAACCTTCAATTGCTTGGAAAAGAGAAGCGAACTGTGGTTGGAACTGCAGGAAATAAGGAGTGAACCTTCAATTGCTTGACGAGGCATTCTGTTATAGGAAATGAAGCCTTCAACAGGTTCATCAACTATCCGTGTCATAGTCATCATAGCAAGAGGGAATGTTGGGAAATTCAACAAGAGGGGCACTTGGGGACAAACAGAAACATCCAAAAAAATCCATCAAGAAGCAAGCTTTTGTTCTGTTGCTAAATTAAATGAGGTGTATGTATATATATAATATAGCATTTAGATTTATTTATGAAGTCTATAGCTATATGGCTCCAATCTAGTGGTTATATCTCTGATTCTGTGGAATTTGCAAGTGTTATATTACAAGTTTTTGTAAATTTTGCAAGTGGTTATAACAGCCATGGATCTTTAAATGTAAGTCTGTACTTGAAGCTATAGTTTCTCTATTTTCCAAGTTTTATGCTGCACCAGTCTCATTGATGCTTTCATGCCTTCAAACATGTCTCTGCTAAGATGCCATCAGTCTCATAGATATATTATTACATATATTAAATGTACTCCATATATTAAATGTACTCCATATGTTTCTTAGCTCCATATTAAAAATACTTAATCATATCAAATTCTGCAATATTTTGATCAGAACTTCCCCCTTAATTGACAGAATTCCTGATCAAATTCTTCCATTTGATGGCATTTTCATATGGGCAAGGAACCAAGTTGCAACTTCATGATCAAATTAAGCTAGTGTATATATACTTATATATATACTACTATTATATAAACTTCCAATAGATACTCTATAAAACATGAAAGAAAGGATGTCATTTATCATATCATAATTAATAAGGTCAAGGAAGCAAGATACTCCATATCTTACTTTGAAACAAAATATAGTCAATGGTGCTACTCATATATCCAAGCACCCAAGTAAGATATGCCATATCTTACACAAAAAATTAGACATCTAAACATGACATTACATATGAAGGATCCTCTTGCAACTTTACTAAGGATCACCAAAAAATTGAGATACACCAAAATATCAAGTGACACTAATACTAGCTTATGCTATTATTTCGCGAATCACATCAGCTTTATCCTCTTCAGGCATGGAATAAAAGCCAATTAGCATATTCTCATCACCAATAATCTTCACATATGCCTTGAGACGTTCTTGGTGGGAAAGTCCTTCAACTTTCTTCAACTCAACAAGGAGAGACGACCTCATGCCATCAATACGTTTCTCACGTTCAACTCTATCAAGGTGCATGCCAAAACGCTCAGATGACTCCTTTAACCCATCAGCTAGTGTTTGAACAATCATTTTCATGCCTTCAAGCATGGAAGGTTGAGCTTCAGTGCTGTTTCGCTTCCTCTTTTTCGCACCGGAAGTTGCATCAGAAGGGGACAGCTCAGTTGGAGAGTTCTCTTGTGGTGAAGTATTGGCATGTGATCCATCCATTTGAGAATCAGTTGGAATGTACTCAGTAGGAGTATCTTCTATGGGTGAAGTAAACCCATGTTGATCATGAAACTCTTCAATGATATCTTCATAGGTTTGAGCATCCTTTCCATTTGCCCTATCCTTCCCAAAGATATTAGATAGCTCATCATAATAGGGGAAAGTCTTGTTTCTCCACTTAGCAGCTTTCTTGTTTACCTGTGACAGAAAAAAACAAATAAACAGCAGAAACTACAGCCAAAATATCAGAAAAAACAAATAAACAGCAGAAAGAAACAGCAGAAACTAACAGCAAAAAAACAGAAAAAACAAATAAACAGCAGAAACTACAGCAAAAAAAACTAGAAAAAACAAATAAACAGCAGAAAGAAACAGCAGAAACTAACAGCAAAAAAACAAAAAATAAATAAACAGCAGAAACTAACAGCAGAAAAAACCAGAAAAAACAAATAAACAGAAGAAACTAACAGCAGAAACTACAGCCAAAAAACCAGAAGAAATAAACAGCAGAAAAAAACAGAAAAAATAAATAAACAGCAGAAACTAACAGCAGAAAAAACCAGAAAAAACAAATAAACAGAAGAAACTAACAGCAGAAACTACAGCCAAAAAACCAGAAGAAATAAACAGCAGAAACTAACAGCAGAAAAAAAACAGAAAAAATAAATAAACAGCAGAAACTAACAGCAGAAAAAACCAAAAAACAAATAAACAGAAGAAACTAACAGCAGAAACTACAGCCAAAAAACCAGAAGAAATAAACAGCAGAAACTAACAGCAGAAAAAACCAGAAAAAACAAATAAACAGAAGAAACTAACAGCAGAAACTACAGCCAAAAAACCAGAAAAAATAAATAAACAACAGAAACTACAGCCAAAAAACCAGAAAAAACAAATAAACAGCAGAAACTAACAGCAAAAACTACAGCCAAAAA